GGACTGGCCTCAGTCTCAAGGCGCCAACATTGAAATGAGGTGCGTTCACGATCTTACTGACCCAGGTCTGCTTTGCATCCGCTGGTGACTCTGAACAGAACAACCATCTCTCCAACAAGCTTGCGATCTTGCAGTGTATGCTGCGTTGTTCCTCTGCTCACATCAGCATTACTGGCAGCAATCTTCCTTTCTCTGAACAGGATCAGGGTCTTGGACATGATCAGCTTCACCCAGCTTCAGTTCTGGCGACGGAGGGAAGCTCCCACACCGGGATGTCATCGGATTCTCAGCTCACACGGCCCACTCATTCAGCATGGTCCAAAACATGGCTGCAGTCTCCTCTTCCTGTTTTCTCAACTCTCCATGTGAAAAAACTCCACCTCCTATGAATATACAAATATCTTTGCAGTCTGAGCCTGTGTTAGAAAAACAGTGACATCTTGTGGCTAAACCGCAGAATGTCAGTCAAAACATCAATTTACTCCACACAATAATTTACTGCACACAGTGTTCAAACAATGAGAGCTGTTTCCCCATCTCACAGTTCTACAAAGTATTGACTCAGAAGGGTTGGACACAAATGCACGCCACACTTTTCAGATATTTATTTGTTAAACATTTTGAAAACATTTATCATTTTCCTTCCACTTCACAATTATGTGCCACTTAAAATCCCAATAAAATACATTTACATTTTTGGTTGTCACATGACAAAACGTGGAACATTTCACAGGGTATGAATACTTTTTCAAGGCACTGTGGTGTGTATATATATATATATATATATATATATATATACAGGATATAATAATATGCTGAAAAAGGCACACTTTCTGGCATTTCCTTCACGTCTTGTGCTCATTCAACACAAAAGCCTCCATGCCATATTTCCATGTGAATAGGAATGGCGTCAAGTATAATCAGCAAATTGATGGTAAATAAAACAAATTGCATATGTACAATGTCACAGCATCACTATAATGCAAAAAGACTTTTTCATGAAGAAATATTCTGCTTGAATGAGGTGATCAAGACTCTGAACAAACACTTATTTGTATCAATTAACCTTTCCCGGAGGTGTGGGTAGCTGTAGTGCAGCTCCCGATTACAATATTCACTGCCTGCTTCTTAATGAAGAGAGTTACTGGATTGAATCATAGGCGTACCCGCTTTCAATCTGCACTTTTAAATACTTCTGCATGTCAGCATTAGGTACAAGGGGCATCAATCACCAAAATTAAATCTTTTTTCTGCATTCATTCTGAGCTGGGCGGAATCCTCCCTGCCTGTTTCTGGCCCTGCTTAGAGCTGAGTGCTTTTTTCCACTTGTTAGATTGTAATGAAAACAGCTTGCATTGTGTTTTCGGAGATAGGTGTTACCTTGCTCTTCTAAGCCTGGCTCTCAGACTCTGCATCTGCAAACCTATTAAACTTATCTTAAATGACGAGGATCCTCTTAATAATGGCCAAGGAGCCAGGTATTAAATGCTCCAATGCTTTCAATTTATTGCAACGTCAATATATGTTGTACGTGGGAGCACACATTTAAATCACCACTAACACAACTTGCTGTGTGTGAATGAGTCGGCCTCCTATCATATCAAAAGAAGCCATTTCAGAAATAAAAATCCATGTCCACCTTTATTTAAAGAGGAACTCCAGTTAAAAAAAAATACACCATGAAACAAACAGCTCATTAAAAGATAAGATAACAAAACCAGACTTTGCTGCAATAATTACCATAAATCCAGAGACTTCCCTTACAGTACTTGTGCCTTTAGATGTCATCAATTGGATTTCCAGCATCATTCAACTCATTTCCTGTGAGCCCAAGTCACTCTGAACCTGCCCCCAGCCTGTGACTGAACAGTGAAAGTAGAAGCAGTGCAGTGATGATCTCATCTCTGTCACTGTTCTCTCTCCAGTTATCAGCATACTTCTCTTCAGAACATTAATTGATGGGCTTCTACTACTTCTCCCTCTCACAGTTTGCACTCTATGATGCAGGGATTTCAACAGGTTGTTACCAGGTCCAATGCTTGTATTTAGCAAATAAATGTAATAATGTTTTAGTGATATAGAGCTGCTTTGTGTATTTTACAAACCCAATCTCAAACAATTGCATAAAATCTACATATATACATACAGAATGCAATGATTTGCATATCTCATAAATCCATATTTAATACATAATTGAAAACATATCAAATGTTTAAAATGAGAAAATACCATTATCAGAAAAAAATAAGGTAATTTTGAAATGGATGGCAGCAACACATCTCAAAAAAGTTGGGACAGGGCCATGTTTCCAACGGTGTAACACCCTCTCTTCTTTTAACAACACTCTGTAAACAACTGGGAACTGAGATCAGTTGCTGGGGTTTTGGGAGAGGAATGTGATCCCATTCTTGCTTAATATAGGATTCTATCTGCTCAACAGTCAATGGTCTTCTTTGTCGTATTTTTCATTTCAAGGTGTGCCAAATATTTTCAAATGGCGAAAGGTCTGGACTGCAGGCAGGCCAGTTAGGCACCCAGACTTATCTATTATGCAGCCATGCTGTTGTCATAGATGCAGTATGCGTTTTTGCATTTTCCACTTCAATATGCAAGGCCTTCCCTGAAAAAGACGGGATGGGAGCATACAGTATGCTACTCTAAAACCTGGATATATCTTTCAGCATTGATGGTTCCTTTCCAGATGTGCAAGCTGCCCATTCCATTCCACTGCTTAACCCCCATACCATCAGAGATGCAGATTTTTTAAGTAACTGCTAATAAAAAGAGAAAAGGTGCTTCTCCTCTTTAATCCGGATGCAGCGCTCATGGTTGCCAAAAATAGTGTCTGACCACAGAACAGTTTTCCACTTTGCAACAGACCATTTGACCATTTTAAATGTGCTTTGGCCCAGAGAAGATGGCAGTGTTTCTGGATCACATCCAGATATGGCTTCTTTTTTGCATGATAGAGTTTTATGTTGCATTTTGGATAGCACGACAAACTGTGTTGAAAGAGTGATTTTTTTTAAAGTATTCCTGAGATCATGCAGTGATGTCCATAACAGAATCATGCCTGTTTTTAATACTGTGTTGTCTGGGTACCCAAAGATTGCAGGCATCCAATATTACATTTTGGCCTTGTCCCTTGCACACAGAGATTTCTCCAGATTCTCTGAATGTTTTGATGATGGTATGTACTGTAGAAGATGACATCTTAAAAGTCTTTGCAGTTTTACATTGAGGAACATTATTCTGAAATTCTTTGACAATTTTTAGATGCAGCTTTTCACAGATTGGTAAACTTCTGCCCATCTTTATTTTGAGACACTCTGATTCTACAAAATGCATTTTTTTATACCCAATCATGTTACTGACCTGTTGCCAATTAACTTAATTAGTTAAAAAATGTTCTTCCAGCTCTTCCCTGTTAATGCCACTTTGCCAGCTTTTTGTTTTCTATTTTCTATTGTGAATATATAGTTGCATAGTTACTCTGGCTGAAAAAAAACAAAAGTCCATCCAGTTCAACCATTAAAAAAAAAAAAAAAAAGTTATAATCCTGCACCCATAGTTGATGCAGAGGAAGGCAAAAAAAACCCAGCAAAGCATGATGCAAATTGCTCCTGCAGGGGAAAAAATTCCTTCCTGATCCCCCAAGAGGCAGTCGGATATTCCCTGGATCAACTTTACCTATAAATGTTTGCATCCAGTTATATTCTGTGTATCCAAGAAATAATCCAGGCCTTTTTTAAAGCAATCCACTGAGCTGACCAGAACCAACTCTTGTGGGAGTCTATTCCACATTTTCATAGCTCTCACTGTGAAGAAACCTTTCCATGTTTGGAGATTTTTCTTTTCCTCCTCTTCTCAAGAGAGAATACATTCAGTTCCTCTAATCTTTCCTCATAGCTGAGCTCTTCTATGCCTCTTATCAGTTTGGTTGTCCTTCTCTGTACTTTCTCCAGTTCCCCAATGTTCTTTTTGTGAATTGGTGCTCAAAACTGAACTGCATATTCCAGATGAGGTCTTACTAATGATTTGTACAGGGGTAAAATGATATTACTCTCTCTGGAGTCTATACCTCTTTTAATACAAGAGAGGATTTTGCTCGCTTTAGAAACCACAGCTTGGCATTGCATGCTATTATTAAGCTTGTGATCTACCAGAACTCCCAGATCCTTCTCCACCATTGATTCCCCCAATTGTACCCCCCCTAGCATGCATATTCTTAGTCCCCAAGTGCATAACCTACATTAATCAACATTAACCCTTTGGCACCGGCGCCTCCCGGCCCTTTAAGGGTTCCAGAAGCCGGGAGGCAGGACGGGGGTTTTAGGGTCATGTGACAGCCGTGATTCACTGTCACGGTGGTCACATGATCGGGAAAGCTCCCAATCGAAAGAGGAAATCGGGACCTTTCCGTGAGTACCGAACGCGTGTGCTGGGAGCACATATGTTTTTTTTTAATAGAATCCAAATGTGCGGCCGCTCGGCGTCTAGGCCCAGATGCCGAGAGGCCACACATTTGCGTTCGGCCGGTGCCAAGAGGTTAACCACTTGAGGATTTACCCGCCTTCCTGACCAGGCCTTATTTTGCATTAAGGCGCTGCTTTACTTTAACTGACAATTGCACGGTCATGCAACGTTGCACCCAAATGAAATTTACGTCCATTTTTTCCCATGAATTGAGCTTTCTTTCGGTGGTATTTGATCACCTGTACATTTTTTATTTTTTGCGCTATAAAAAAAAAAGACTGAGAATTTTGAGAAAAAAAACAATATTATTGACTTTTTGCTATTAAACTTGTCCAGTAAAAAAATTTTAAAAATCAAATTTCATCATAAATTTAGGCCAAAATGTATTCTAAATGTCTTTTATAAAAAAAAAAAATCAATACATATAAATTAATTGGTTTACATGAAAGTTATAGCATTTACAAATGGCTGTATAGATACTGGAATTTTTTTTTCTCACTAATAATGGCGGTGATCAGCGACTTATAGCAGGACTGCGGCGGGCATTCTGACACGGGGGGGAACTGACTTGGTGTCACTGACATCCCCAGTGACACCAATACAGTGATCAGTAGTAATGGCCCTGGGCAGGAAGGGGTTAACATGAGGGGGCGATCAAAGGGTTAACTGTGTGCTGGTGTTTTACTAGGGGGCGGTGTGTTGATGCTTCACTGTAAGCACACTGCTCTGGATGGCTGTGCTGTGCACAACCATCCAGAGCAGTGTGCCCAAGCAGACAGGGAGGAGGATTGTTAGTAAATAAAGCAGTCCTCCTTCCCATCAGAGATCCTCGGTAATCACCGGGCGCCGACGGGTAATCACCGGCCGGGACTCGGTGATTGACAGCCGTGGCCGCGAATGGCGGTGCAGATAGGGAGCGAGCGTGCCTCACGTGCACCCCCTACCCGGAAATGCAAAATCACGTAAATATACGTGATTTTGCTCACCCCCTGCCGCCCTGTACCAGTATATCTGCTATAGGGCAGCAGGGAAGCGGTTAAACCTCATTTGCCACATAGTTGTCCAATTAAACAGTGCATTGAGGTCGGCTTGTAAGTTAGAGACATCCTGTAAGGACGTTATTCTGCACAGCTTGGTGTCATCTGCAAAGACTGAAATGGTATTTTTAATCCCAGACCCTATATTGTTTATAAATATATTAAAAAGTAAGGGTCCCAACACTGAACCTTGGGGTACACCACTAACAACCCTAGACCATTCAGAGTATGAGTCATTAACCACTACCAATACTTCTTTTAGCCAGTTTTCTATCCATTTACATACAGATTATTCCAAGCCTGTAGACTTTACCTTACACATTAGCCGAATAAAACATGGGTTTATGAGATTTGCAAATCATTCCATTCTGTTTTTATGTATATTTTTTTACAGCATCCCAACTTTTTTGGAATTGGGGTTGCTTGGGGAGTTCAGTTTTATCGAAAAACTATAGGCAACAAATCAGTCAAACACTGAAAAACACTGTACAGACTCATTTACATTAGCAGACATGGCAGAGGATATACCCATCCCACAGAAAAAGCTTATACTGGAGTTGCTCAATTTTGCAATGAGCCATAATTATTTTGGTTTGGCAATAAATTTTATTTGCAAACCACTGGCGTAGCCATGGGGACAAAATTTGCCCCCAGCCTAGCTAACCTATTTATGGCAAGATGGGAAGAGGATCTAATTTATTCCAGAGAATGGCCGGACTTATTATTCTACCGTCGCTACATAGACGACATTTTCTACTCTGGAAAGGGGATGAATTCTCTGTGAGATGGGGAAACAGCTCTCATTGTTTGAACACTGTGTGGAAGTAAATTAATGTTTTGACTGACATTCTGCGGTTTAGCCACAAGATGTCACTGTTTTTCTAACACAGCCTCAGACTGTATAGATATTTGTATATTCATGAAGAGGTGGGGTTTTGAACTCAGAGTTGGAGAGAACAGGCAGAGGAGACTGCAGCCATGTTTTGGACGATGCTGAACAAAGGGGCCATGTGAGCTGAGAATCCGATGACATCCAGGTGTGCATGCGTCCCTCAGTAACCAGACCTGCAGCTGAGTGAAGCTGATGAGTTTGCTGCCAGGAAGCTGATTAGACCAGAGGAACTAAGCAACATATACGACAAGATCGCATGCTTGTTGGAGAGACATTTGTTCTGTTCAGAGTCACCAGCAAAGTAGACACGGGTCGGTAAGATCGTGCACGCACCTCATTTCAGTGTTGGCGCCTTGAGACTGAGTTCAGGCCTATAGTTAGTTAGTTAGGGTCTCTGTTTGTGTCAGGCCACAAGTGTTGTTACTGATTATTGGAAGGACTCCACAACTTAAAGTAACATTTCATATTGGAGAGCTGATAAAATCCTGAAAACTCAAGCCAGACTGGCGTTTTGCTCAGAAGGAATACTCAGGCACGTGTTACAGGACCAGTTATGGGGGAGGGAATACTGTAGATTTGTGTAAGATTGTAAGCTGTTGTGCTGCACCGCAGGCTAGCCCATACCATACACCCATACACTGATTCCTGCTCTTTTAGGGTAATAACAGGTAAGGTGTGGCAGCTTATTTGTGCCCACCAGTAGGTAAATTACTTCACTTTCTACTTCATCCATCAGAAGGCGCCGTGCTGTGCAGCACAAGGGTCTCAGCCTTTGGGCTGGGTGGATGTAAATTTATTGTATGTTTCCAGCATTTGTAGTTGTGTTTATTTGCCACATCTAAGTAAAATTCTGTTGTGGCAAAAGCAGGTGTTGGGGTTGCTTTCCTTGTTTGTGACTTCACTGTATCCTGGGGAGCCCACCCCGGTACACGGCTTGCATCTCTCTAACTAACTTTTTTACTACTCTTAACTATAATAATTTGAACATTAAACTCACCTTCCAGTACGATTACAGCGAGATCAACTTTTTAGATTTAACACTTTTTAATGATGGCACAAGAGTTTTTACCAAAAGTTTATTTAAAGCAACAGATAGGAATAACTTTATACCTAAGGATAGCTGTCACCATCCGAGATGGTTGGATAATATCCCCAAGGGTCAATTTCTGCGTCTATGCAGAAATTGTGATAAAACCGAAGATTATATCTCCCAATCAGAGATTCTGAAAAAAAAACGTTTTATGGAGAAAGGTTATAATGCCGCCACCCTAGAAAAAGAGATTAAAGAGGTGAGTGACCTCAATAGAGAAGATCTCCTTGTCTCTAAAGACAAGATTAAGGGAGATAGGTTTTGTCTGTGTATAACCAACTTTTCGGTTCAGTATAAATAAGTGGTGAGAATCTAAAAAAAAAAAACTGGACAATGCTTAAAAATGATCCAGTTTTAGGCGCTGCTTTACCTGATTTCCCTGAAATCACATACCAAAAAGCACCTCCTCTGAGGAATATCTTAGCCCCCAACATTTGTTAATCCACCTAAACAGCTATCCTTTTGCTTCAGTCAGAAAGGGTTCTATCCATGCAATAGATGCATGCTATGTGTAAATAACGGTATCCACAAAAAAACAGTGAAAAACTTTTCGCTCTAACATCACTGGCAAGTCGTATGACATTCAATCAGTTATTACGTGTAATAGCACGCATGTCGTGTATATCCTGGAATGTTCATGTGCTAAACAATATATAGGAAGGACCACCAGGAGATTGAGAGATAGGCTCAGAGAGCACCTGAGCAATATTAAGAAAGGGTTCAAGGAACATTCTGTATCTATGCACTTCCGGGAATTGCATAATAGGAACCCACACCCTTAAAATTCATAGGTATAGATACTGTGAAGAAACATTGGAGAGGTACCTTCAGACGTCAAGCGGTATCCATGCTAAAGACTAAGTGGATTTTTTTACTGCGTACCCTTACACCACTTGGCATTAATATCGACCTCGACATTAACTGCTTTATTGATACCAGCTAACTTATCTCTGTCTAAAATTAATCATTCAGATATGATAGTATCTTGATGTACACAATGGGTACCTACCATCTGTTGCCAACATCCTATACTTTGCATGTAGCATCTAATATTTATCATTTTGACATCTTTTTATATTCTTGGTACATCTATTTATTATCCAGCTCAATTTTAATATCCAGTTTTATTTATGTATTTTTTATAAATAATTATAATTAACTTTTAATGATCTCTTGACATCTATAATCATACATAATTATTTTAATGATCTAGTTGTATATCATACTAATCTTATAATTATAGATCTTGCCATAAATCCTATGAAAGTCTCGTGTTAAGGCATTTTACTATTTTTGGGTTGTTATCATCTCCCCTCTTTGTTGGTTGGTTAATATTTTTTGGAGGGATTATTCCTATTGTTCATTTCCTGTATTTTTTATAAATATTTATGTACGTATTTATTTATTTTATGTATTACGATCAGCAATCAGCAATCTTGGACTTAATTATTCCCATTTTTGACAATTTATATATTTCTTTAATTTTTTATTATATTTTTCATCTTATCATATTTTTTTTTTAACTATATCATATTTGTATTTTTTTATGTAATTAGAATCATATTGTCATAAATTACTATTAATCTTTTAAACCATATATATGTATAACTCATATGTTTCTTATTATATTGTTGAATGCTTGAACACTATGCCTCAGCAACATGAGAATACTTCCAAGATTAAGATTGTCCCGGTACTTGTAGTCCCACAAATTACACTACATTGGTAATGTACGCTTTAATTATTTCATGATAATATTAGATTGGTAGTCCGTTTCAGTACGCACTACGTCCTATAGTTACCACTAATAACTAATATGTTATGGGATTAATGATTGGTACCGCCCATTCGATTCGACAATAATATTTGGTCTGGTGATTAACCTTCACCTTAACTTTCCTTGGCTGGGGTGTCTTCAATGTGTGTCTGTGTATACTGTTCTTCAATAAAATGGTCGCCGTTTGCATGCTTCGCGCATGCGCGAACGGACGATAATGATGACAACGAATGGTACTGCGCAATGCACTGAAGTATTGACAGAGAGAAACTGAGTACATAAACACAATACATAAAAGGGTGGAAAGAAACCGGATAACTTGCATTAATAGCAAACAAGTCATGACCAATGGACTAGTAGGCAAAGGCCAAAGATAACCACAAAAATTGCATACAGAGGGTAGGAAAAGCTGGGCACGGAGCTGCACTGGATGCACATACTGTAGGTACTCCACACCAAGGACTCTCAAGAAAGTCCGACAGGTATATAAAAACATTGCAGGTATAATTCTCTAGAAGTATTACAATCAGCGCAAATAACATGAAGATTAACAAAAACAAAGGAGAGAAAGAAGAGAAAAAAAAAGAAGGGAGAAACAAGGATAGTTAAGACAAAGAAAGGGCTCCAGGGGATCGCGCCCAGGAGAGTCTTATATCGACAGAAGGGTCTGGTCAAATCTAGATGGTTGGGCCACATCAATTCAAGGGCGCCAGATCTGCAAAAACTTTGGGTGGGTGTCTAACAGCATGGCCGTTAGCTTCTCATTAACCATTATAAAATTCATCCCAGGACGATCGCGGAAGTTGGTTCCTCCTGTGAAGCATGGAAGCTTGGCTGGTTCTCTGTTTGAGTTTGTTCTCCCATGCAGCCATGAATACATCAACATCAGAGCGGTTGTGATCATTCATGCCGGAGCTATCTATGTTTATACACGCTCTTCTGGTATTATGTGAGTGCAATACTTATGGCTTATTAAATACTGTTTTAATACTGCACTTAGTGGTGCCCCCTTGTGTTTCCCTCCGCTTTCTAAAGGGATACATTGCAGTCTCTTGGTGGAATTGCCTATTGTGTGCCTTTTACTGATTACACTGTTCAACAGGTAAAAAGTTTTGGGCATAAAATTAGCTAATCTTACATAATTTTGGGGTGCTGAAAACGAAAA